CCTCTTCCCTGGTATTTCGAGAGGAAAATTGTGTAGAATTCTTATAGACAGGATATTGGTTTTGTAATGTTAATTTTGGAATTTTTTTGATAGACGAGTGTCATGATTTACTTATTACAGTGCAGAGTGAGTATTCAGTGTTTAACGAAGCTTCCACGATTTGCTTTTTAATATTTTATTAAATAATACAGTTGCATTGGTTGTTTATTAAACGTGCAGTTATTTATATTCCTATTTCTACAAGTAACGTGGAAGGATGGTAAATTTTTGAAATTTATTTATAAAATAGAAATTTAGTAGTTATAGCGATAGCATAGTTGTGCATGACGTGTAAAAAGGTCCCTGCGAGAAAGAAAATCGCGCTGGTTTGTAAATTGGAATAATGCTTGACACACGATTTTTAATGCGATTTACTACATCGACTCATATATCGGTAATAAATATCGATTATCGAAGCGAGCTTTCAGCTGCGGTGAACCACAGTATATTGAGTCTCACGAATCTATATGACGCATGGCGCGCGAAATGGGGCCGTGATACATTAAAGAAGCATGATCATAATCACTCGCGAGCCTATAGATCTACTAATTATACCTTTAAAATTGGTTATGAAATTAATACAACGCGTATTTTATCGACGTTTTTCACGGAATCGTGTATGGTGAATTACATCCCGGGGTTGGAAATTATTTTAAACTGCAATACCTTCAATAATTAAGTAACCAACCAGAGTGAATTAAAGTTTAGTAATTAAAGCTCCCGTAATAACACACATCGGTTTCTGTTTGGCGTGTGTTTTTAGTAACATTTAAAATATATCTCTCTACCTTTAATCCACTTGGAAATAAATTTTTGAATATAAACATCGGAAATACAATGAAAAATATGGACCATTCGTCAAAAGATGGGAATCGCAAAATCCTACTATTTACTAAATACTATTTTTATCATTGCTAATTCATATTTCATCACACATTATATTATTCTATATTTATTATTGTTTCACAGGATCAAAAAATTTCCGACAAAAATACAAGAAATTTTCCTATACAATACAAAAATTTAATTACTTAAATTATTTTTTGGTGGATAATCAGTGGAAATAGGGTGTGGTAATAAGACAGTACGTAATGTATTCTTAACACTTGCACGTTTACAGACAGAGTACTTCGATTATTTATAATAATCGTATATTTATTATAAAATTATAAATTTACACACGCATTATATTATAATTGTTCACTCTCACGCTTCTTATAACAAACTGAACTTCCTTATATCATATTGACTCTGATCCATAGCAACTGCACAACATCACGCATTCTAGATCTTCCACTCGCACTTCTAAAAACATACATATCTACATTCGTGCGATTACTCGATCTCACACACTTGCATTCACGCTAATAAAACCAAATCCACACCTTGCTTCCCCACCATAATCATTTTTATTGTATTAAGTAAGAATAGATGGCGATGTTGCCATAAATCGCAGGATCCCAACATTTTAAAATAAAAATACAATCAGGTATGATTCACACTAAATAGAAATTAAATCCGCTCAAAGGGACCACGTAATATCTCTGCTACTCTACAAAAGCAACACACAGAACATTCTATTTCCACAAAATCACCAAAGTCTTCACACTTCTACCTCGCTCTTAAGAACTTCAAAGCCAATTCCAGTTGCAAAAAAAAAAGGAAAAAAGAAATTATCTTAGTTACTCGCTTGCGCGAAGTTTAACCACGCCTCGAGGTCCAATTTAGGCTGCTTAATAATTCCAATCAGTTTGGCCAAACAAGATGTTCAAGGGCGTTGGCCTCTCAGCATCCTCCGTGCCCCGAATCGCACGAACCGGTGCTCCTTATCAAGATTTCGTTCGCTAATCCCGCGAAACGGCTCTCGGAAGTCTCCACGCACCGAATTAATTAAAGTTCACCCCGGTCTGAACTACTTTTCCACGGTTTTTCACCCCCTGCCAGCGTCTCGCGACGCGACCAGTTTTCGACGCCCCTGTCCTTAATTAACCATAGTCTCGACGGGGTGGAACAACTCGCGAAACGATCGCGTTTAAATAATATTCGCGGAGAAGCGCGATATTCCAGACTCCTCGCCTTGTTCCAGCCGTGTTTGAACAATTTGCATGAAACAGGAGGTGCAAATTAGGGGCCTGCTAGTTGTTACCGGATGTATGGGCCACGACAACTAAGTATCGAGGGTTTTTAGTCTATCATCGGGGATTATTTCGCCACCAGCCGGGATATTGTCGTTTTTAATCCGTTAATTGGGAACGGGATACTGCGAGCTCGAGTCGTTATGATTTGGTTATGAATAATTGGGTATCGAGAAAGTTTCTGATTTTAGTTAACCACTGTAGAGGATGTTGCAGGCTTCTTTTCGTGATGAATTATACGAGGATGCGTTTCACGGGTAAAAATGAGGAAAGCATGTTAAGTAAACTCTTATATAGACTAGCAAACGTTTCATTTAAAAGTTATGACAAAAGTATGAAGTTATAATGAACTTTCTTTTGCTTGCTGCCTTCCTATAGAGCGAAGAAAAGTTAACGATGTATAATTATATGAGATCGTTGAAGAGAGTCAATTCGTAGAAGTTAAAATTTGGTTGAAATTAGTTGGATGAAATTCATGTTTATATTTAATGTCTGTTGTTATGATAATGTTTAGTAGTATATTGAAGCTTGTATCAAAGAAAGTTCAATATTGAAGAAAAAATAAATCCGTAGCTTCATTTTTTAAAATGAATATCATAATTTTTCAACGAGATATTGGGGAGAATATATTTATATATTTTTCCTATTTTTGCTAATAGAACATGCTGTCATAATTTAATGGGAAAGACCTGAAATATTCTTCGTATCTATTTCATTCGCAATAAAATCGTAGAAAAATTTTATGCCATTTTATTAGTAGTAGTATATTGAAGTATATTTGTATTAGTATTATATTTATTTTTAGTAGTAAGTAGAAAACTTTTATGCCATTTTATTAATAGTATAATATTCAAGTATATTTTTATTAGTATTATATTTATTTTTAGTAGTAAGTAGAAAACTTTTATGCCATTTTATTAGTAATAGTATATTGCAGTATATTTTTATTAGTATTATATTTATTTTTAGTAATATATTGAAGTTTGTATCGAAGAAAATTTAATATTGAAGAAAAAATAAATCCGTAACTTCATTTTTTTAAATGACTGTCACAATTTTTTAATAGATGAGATATTGGGGAGAATATATTTATATATTTTTCTTATTTTTGCTAATAGAACATGCTGTCATAATTTAACGGGAAAGACCTGAAATATTCTTCGTATCTGTTTCATTCGCAATAAAATCGTAGAAAAATTTTATACCATTTTCATGTATGCTAAAGTGATGAGTATAATTGTCATGTGGCGAATATGTGCAACACTCACTGATATTTTAGACGTAATAATTTATCTTAATTTTTCTAAATCGCTAATTTTTCAGCTCGATGAAATGTGATTTCTTTTTTAAAAATTTTTTAGATTTATGATTAGAGAAATTTCTTACTAACAAACTGTTGCACAGATTATCGTTTATTTTCGAATTTGATTGGAAGATGAAAGTCGAAAACCCTGTGTGAATTTTGGGATTTTATTGGGAAATTGAAGGATCGAAAGATAATTGGCTGAGAAAATTTTTATCCTTCGGAGAACGATCGAGAAGATTTATAGTAAAAATTCAACTTCTCTTTTTAGTAAGACGTGACATTTTTAGACTTTTTTTTCCTTTTTTAAGTTTAATATTTCTGATCTTAACGAAGAGTCTCTGTACGAATGTACGTTGGTTATTTATTAACGTTTAAGAAAGTTAAGAGGCTGGTAGATAAAATTGGTAGCACGCTAGAAAAAGGTGAATTATTCTGAAAGAAGTTTAAGGAAAAGAATTTCTAATTATGTTTGAGATCCCTATAGCTCTTTTTTCCTCCTCAAGTACTTGTCCACTCTCGTGATGTTGATATAAAATCGTCTTAACGGGAGGAGTTTTATACACTTTGAAGCTCGAAGTCCTGAATCTTTCGCCCTCTTTTACTTAAAGGAGTTTGCAATTTTGTGGAACAGGTTGGCAAATAGAAATAAGCGAAAACGAGATGCGCAAGTACGCTTGTATGAAAGTTAGCTCGTTTAGCTTTAACTTGAATTAAAAGCAGAACAGGATTGTACGATTCCTGGTAGAAATGGTATTAATCTTTGTATCCTTGTATTCTCGTACCTCTAACAATGATCAAACACGGTGATATTCATAAACACTTGCACTTATAATCTCCACTGTGCTTTTTAATTTTGCGTTCATGATATTCTAAATTTTTGGTATCAGTTCTGTGTAAAATAAATATTTTTACAGTAATAAAAATGAAATGCAAAATTATAAATAATTAGAAATTTATGTATTAATTTAATTACGTATTTTTGTTTTATATGATATATCCTGTCCTAACTGAAGTTCAAATTAAAAAATTGAACACTAACAATTATGGTTAATTAAAAATTAGTATACTCCTTCAATAATTTTAAAGTACTCCTTTCATAATTTTTTAAAACTAGAACCAGACACGAAGTTATAAATAATTCAAAATTAATATATTAGTACTTTTAGTTCAAAGTTTAAGGATTTGTTATTCATTATTATTTTGTAAATAATTTTCGATATATTCGATTTTGTGTGACAACTGAAAGCTAGGTTAAGAATAAATGATTCGAAAGAAGATTAAAAGTAATTAAAAATTGATATATCGATTTATCATAATATCCTGAGTGATTAGCGCGAAAAGCCGATTACTTCGTGAATGATCCTCGATATATCAGATTCTGTGTCGCAACTGGAAACTAGATTTCAAAGTTTCCGTGATTCAAACACTGAAATATTAAATACAACTCGCGTGGATGGCTACTCGTGTTTCCAGACGAGGAAAGTCTTCTAACCGCTCTCCTTCGCACCTTTTTGTTTCAGAAGTGTCCTATGATTTACTCGAGGCTACAATGGCAACGAAAGACGACAATAATTTGTACATCGGCGATGGTCTCGACGGATTTCCGAGTTTTGGCTTTCGCCCCGGCTCCAAAGTTAAACAACCCTATCGATTATACCTGCCGGAAAAATTGCCGGCGGAGTTCACTCTGGTGGCAACTTTCAAGCCGACGTCCTTCAGGACCAGTTATCTCTTCGCGATTCTAAATCCCTTTGAAACAGTGGTGCAACTGGGCATCCGAATTTCCGTAAGTACCACTCGCACGCGGTCCTTTGTGACCTTTTGTTTTTACGTGTCAGTAGTTCTTATAGTTGACTGACGTCTTTGTATGAAGAGTGCGTGGTCGAGCTCTGAAAAGTAATCAGTCGATGCTTCCTATGAATATTTTATATAGAATTATTGCTCAGGGTACTGTTTTATGTGTTGTTTCGTGATTTATGTAAAAGCACAGGTAGATTATGACTCACAATGCTCTCTATTGAGTTTTTATTTCTATAATACAGTGGTTCTTATAGTTGTCTGATGTACTTGCATGTAAAAAGTGTGATTGAAGTCTGAAAGCTAATCAGTCGATGCTTCTTATTAATATTTTGTATAGTATCATTACTCAAGGTACTATTTTATGCATTGTTTCGTGATTTATGTAAATGCATAGTTAGATTATGACTCACAGTGCTTTCTATTGAGTTTTTATTTCTTTCTTTTTTTTTTATTGAAGCATTTGAAACCTCATACGAGGTTTATTTCTGCTGGACATATATATAATATTTGCTTAATACATTAATTTATATGACTAAATTTCATTACACTTTTAAATTACAATTTTTCAAGAAAGTAGAAATACATTTGCAAGCCCAAATATTTGGCTGAGCAATTATAGATTCTACATTTTTGGGGAAAGTTTTATTTCTATAAGACAGTAGTTCTTATGGTTGTCTGATGTACTTACATGTAGAGTGTGTGATTGAAGTCTGAAGGATAATCAGTCGATATTTCCTATTAATATTTTATACAGCATTATTAATTAGGGTATCATGTTATGTGTTTTTCTGTAATTTACGTAAAAGTATAGTTAAATAATAACTCGCAGTGTTTTCTGTTGAGTTTTTATTATTGGAAGACAACAATTCTTATAGTTGTCTGATGTACTTTCATGTAAAGAGTGTGATTGAATCTGAAAGGTAATCAGTCGATGCTTCCTATTAATATTTTATACAGAATTATTAATTAGGGTATTATATTATGTGTTTTTCTGTAATTTTCGTAAAAGCACAGTTAAATAGTGACTCGCAGTTATCTGATGTATAATACTTGCATGTAGAGAGCGTGATTGAAGTCTGAAAGGTAATTTGTCGGTGCTTCCTATTAATATTTTATACACCGTCATTAATTAGGCTATTGTTTTATATGCTGTTTCACGGTTTATGTAAAAGTATAGGTAGATTATATCTCACAGTGTTTCCTGTTGAGTTTTTATTAGTATAAGACAGTGGTTCTCATTATTATCTGATGTACTTGCATGTACAGAGTGTGATTGAAGTCTGAAAGGTAATCAGTCGATGCTTCTTATTAATATTTTATATGCTGTTTCATGATTTATGTAAAAGCACAGTTAGATTATGACTCACAGTGCCTTCTATTGAGTCTTTATTCTTATAAGACAGTAGTTCTTATAATTGAATGGTGTACTTACGTATAGAGAATATGATTGAGGTATGAAAAGTAATCAGTGGATACTCCTAATTAATATTTCATTGAATTTCATTAACGAATAATTCATAACGAATTATTTTTATTATTGTGTTATGTGTTATTTCGTGGTTTACGTAAAAGCACAATTAAATCATAACTCGCCACAAGTTACACCTGTCATTTACCTCAATACAAAAGATTAAATATCCACCAAACCAGCGATTTTTAATCAACATATCGTAAGAATTTTTCAACGCGTATTTAAAAGACACGTTACATCTGATTATTTACTCTACGGTATTGATCTTTTCATTCTCAGATTGCCAAACGAAAGAACGAAAAAGTGGGAATTTCCATTGCTTCTAATGCTACTATTATTTTTCATCCAATCGAAACTGTATCCACTTTTTTCCCACCACGCCACAGAATTTGAACAATGAATTTACACCAGCCACGAAATAAAAGAAGATTAAACATCACCGACCAATACCAACGAAACTGAACTTCCTCGGCAGTCCGTCACCCATGCAAAAACCCGAAACCATCCCCTATAAACCACGCAGAGGCCAACGGATCTCTCACCCGTTCCGCGCACCCAGAGTCCGCCTTCTTTCAGCACATTGCGTCTCATAAAACCGCGAGGTAAAATAAAAAGCGTACGATCCGCGGCTGAATATAAAAGCAATCGGAAAATCGGCAAAAATTTCCAAGTACAATCGGTCGATTTATAACGGACCGGCTGCAGCGGCGCGATAGACTTTTAAGTCGACGCTCCCTATCGGCGAATGGAAGGCATTTCCTCATGTTTCCCAATACCTTCGAGGCCGTTGTTGCAGCTTCCACGGGTCTTCAAATTTCTTTGAGATCTTTCACGTTCCTCGCGGCACCGTTTCCATGGGTAATACCGGGGCTACGTGTTCCGCAGGAAAAGCAGCTCTCCGTCGCTTTCCACGTTCCGAACGAGCGTGTACGATCCCCATGGGGATCGATAGCGACGGGTCGCGGCCGCGGGAAAACACCTCGACTTTCGAATCCCCTGGCATTTTCCGCCGGCAGAAGCTTGAAAGAGACCTCGCGATAATTTTCCACGGCGAACGGTTCTGGTTTCTTGATCGCGACTTTCGCAACTCGTGCAATCCTGCTTTTTATTCGCGAATGTCTGTGTTCCGTCCCGGAGAGCGTCTTTATAACATGATTTTTATTCTAAGGTTTACACTTTTAACAGACCTAACGGTTTACGATATATTTTATATCGCGACTGCAATTCCGGAGGATAGATGTGCCTCACCGCCGTTCTAGCAGATTAAGTTGTAAAGGTAAAGGCGAAAGTTTAGGAATTTTTACAAGTACCAGACTCGACAGATGGGACCCACGTGTGACAGACCCAACAAGCGACGGACGGACACCACTTATAAATCACGTCATTGACTATCAAAAATCGGCTCCTTGACAGTTTCCTACTCCTCAGCCAAAGGTCCTTCCGTCACACCCTCTGTCCAATTAAAACTCCTTACTTTTCCACCACCAACGTTTATTTTGCCCAATCAGAACTAAACTGGAGAAAACACCGGACAGG